CCTCAGACCCAGGAGTCCAGGCCCCAGCCCCTCCTCCCTCAGACCCAGGAGTCCAGGCCCCAGCCCCTCCTCCCTCAGACCCAGAAGTCCAGCACCTCCTGCCTCAGACCCAGGAGTCTGGATACCTCAGTCCAGTCCTCTTTGAGACTCAGGTGTCGTCCCTCTACCCGCCCACGACCGCTTCCTCCTCTGCTAAGTGTCTCAGACCCCAGTCCCCTCTTGAATGAGACCTAAAACTCCCAAACCCTGCCCAACTCTTTCCTCGCCAAGATAAAAAATTCGCACCGGCCCCCAGACCCCTCCTCTCCAGGACCTGGGACTCCAGGTCTCCAGCTCTCTCCTCCCTAAAACCCAGAAGTGCAACACCCCCAGCCATCACCCGTCATCATTCTGTGCCACTGCGACGCCTCAGTAGCCAGGGCTTGGGAGAGGCTGAGAACTCGCTCCCGGTGGCCTTCGGAAGTCGGCAAGTAAGGGGTGCTGTTCTTCGGACTAGAAAAAAGAGAAAATTGGGGGTGGGGGTGTGTACATGGGGAAGAGGTGGGGATGGTTAATGGGTATAGAAAGAAAAGGATGAATGAGTAAGACCTACTATTAGATAGCACAACAGAGTGACTATAGTCAATAATAATTTAATTGTACATTTTAAACTAAAGGGTGTAATTGGATTGTTTATACATCAAAAGATAAATGCTTGAAAGGGGATGGATACCCCATTCTCCATGATGTGCTTATTTCACATTGCCTGCCTGTATCAAAAAATCTCATTTATCCCGTGAATATATATACACCTATGTACCAAAATTAAAATTAAAATTAAGAAAAATAAATAGGCCAGGCGCGATGGCTCACCCCTGTAATTCCAGCACCTTGGGAGGCGGAGGCGGGCGGATCACTTCAGGTTAGGAGTTCGAGACTAGCCTGACCAACATAGCGAAACCCGGTCTCTACTGAAAATACAAAAATTAGCCAGGCATGGTGGCGGGCGCCTGTAATCCCAGCTACTGGGATGCTGAGACAGGAGAATTGCTTGAGCCCGGGAGGCGGAGGTTGCAGTGAGCCGAGATCGCACCATTGTACTCCAGCCTGGGAGACGGATCGAGATTCCGTCTCAAAAAAAAAATTAAAAAATTAAAAAGTAAGGATAAAAATTAAAAAACCCGCCGGCACAGTGAGGACCCGAGTACCGCGCGTACCCTTCTGGGAGTTGTAGTTCCTAGCACGTGTCTCTAAAAGCTGTTACACATGGTACCACCCCCATACCGCCCACATGCCTTATGGGATTTGTAGTCCATTCGCGCGTCAATATCACCCACTGACTGTCCTTGATGCAGAAGCAGGACCTGCTATTGACCAAGGGAATTTGGGGAACTAAAGATATCGCTACATATCTAGGGCTTTCTGGTTTTGTTTCAGATGCCCCGGGAACTTAAGCGCCTCTAGAACAGTTGCGACTTGTAGTTCCATATTTAGGAGACTTCCATAATAATGCTACTCTCTTCCGCTTTTGCAAATTTTATTTTCCTGCTCCCTTGATCTGCCCGCCAGTTCCTTACCTACTCCAGGACCCAGAGCTTCTGAGCCATTTTTGGGCTCCAGAGTGTCCTACGACAGGCTGGAAAGGAATTGGGGCATTAGAACTGCTCGCCTGAAAGCCCCACGTTCTCATTTTGAGGGTAAAGTGAAGGGGGCTCCAAAAGAGAATGAAATTGGCCGAAATACTGGCAATGTTTCGTTTGTTTTTCCTATGCTTCTGTAGGCACTGAATTTTTAAAAATTATTTTATTAATTTTTTAGAAAGGATGGAGTACAGTGGCATGATGGTAGCTCACTCCAGCCTCAACCTCCCAGGCTCAAACTAATCCTCCTACCTCAGCCTCCTGAGTACCTAGAACTACAGGCTCGCACCACCATGCCTGGCTAATTATTTTTATTTTGGTAGAGATGAGGTCTTGCTATGTTGTCCAGGCTGGTCTCTTACTCCTGCCTTGGCCTCCCAAAGTGCTGGGATTACAGGGGTAAGCCAGAGCACACAGCCCCTGACAATGTGTAACTTCACCTGTGCTCCTAATAAAGCAGCACGTGAGTTCAGAAATCCGACCTCCACCACCACCACCTGTGACTTGTCTAAATCCTTTCTATAAAAGTCCAAGGGGGCTAGGTGCAGTGGCTCCCACCTATAATCCCAGCACTTTAGTAGGCCAAGGTGAGCAGATCACTTGAGGTCAGGAATTCAAGAACAGACTGTTCAACATGGCAAAACCTTGTCTCTACTAAAAACACACACACACATACACACAAATTAGCAGGGTGTGGTGGCATGGGCCTGTAATCCCAGCTACTTGAGAGGCTGGGGCAGAAGCATCGTTTGAATCTGGGAGGCAG